ATGTGAGACCAACAGCGCGTATAGTCGAGAACCGACCTGAACATCGGGAGCGAACACATACTGTATGGATGACGTAACGACTTGAGCAAGCTCAGCTTGGAAACGAAGACTTCTCCTCTGCAGCTGCGATCCGATCATTCCTTTCTTCTCCTCCTCTGTTTCTTTCCATTTGACGTCGTATCGTCTTGGCAGGCTATTCACTGTCACTGTGCCTTCACCGCTATGTGAACTTCCAAACAAGCAGGGACCGGACGCGAGGTCAAGGACAACGAACCTCGACCGCGTCAAGAAGGCGTCGCTACCACTCGCCGAGTCGTGAGACATCTTGTAGCGGTAGATGTAAGAGGATCCAAGCGAGTGCGCCGACGCCTGTCTGCTATGAGCCACGTCGTCCGGCGCGATCGCTTGCTTGTCCATGTTGAGGATGAGAATGGAGTAAACCCCCTTGCCGTGCAGATGCAGCGAGTCGTCGTACTTGGCAGACTTGGAGTTGGCCTCGTAGATTCTCTCCAGCTCACTCTGCACATCTCCCTCAACGATCACGTCATACACTGGAACAGCTTTGCTCTCCGCCTCCTCCTCGCCATCCACCTCCTTTTTGCCCCAGCTGGCGTCGGATGGGTTTCGAACCTCTCAGTTCGCCTCATGGAGGATTTGATCACGCGAGCAAGGGAGGAGCTATCGGCATGGCTTGCATGGATGACATCGTAGAAGATCTCGAACGCGACGTGAAGCTTCTCGCCTGTCTCAGCACACCGGGGCTGGTGCTCAGGCATCGTCTGAAACAGCAGCCGCTCGAACTCGTCCTTGTCGAGCCGGAAGGGAGGAGGCTCAGCTCCTGGCCCGAGGTCGACGAGGATCACCTTGAGGATGAGGGGGATGTTCACTGGGCTCTCGTCCTTGTCGAAGGCGAACTTCGGTATGTGACGGGGCGCGCGCGTGGGGTCGACAGGCAAGGCGAGGAAGAGGAAGACGGCAGCTGCCAAGGGCATGTTCATGGACCACCTTGCGCTGCTCTTGATCTCTTGTCTCGTCGCCATCGCTCCCTCCTTCACCTCGTCCTCTTCGCCTCTCCTCCTCCGCCCCTCCTCCGCCCCTCCTCGGATCCCGCCACGCATTGCTGTCGCTGGATCGCTGGGTGGGGGTGATGAGACATGTAGGGTGGGGTACCCAAAAGAATATGTATGACTTTAATACTGGGGGGTGGGTCCTACAGAGGGGTGGAGGAGGTAGGAGAGGGTAGGGGTAGAGAGACGGCATGGGGTAGGAATGATGCAAGGAGAGCAAACTGCATGAAAATGGGGAACAAGAAATGGAAGAGAAGCGGCGGGGGGGGGAAGAGATGTAGAAGAGAGAGAAGAAGAAGAAGGCTAGTTGAGGAGAAGGTGGGGGAGAGGGGAGAGGCGATACGGTAAGGTTGGACAGCAGAAGCATTGGGAGCGAAAAGACCATGGCAACTTACATGGACTGACGTTGCTGGAGCTAGGAGTGACATGAAGACACGCAAGCCCAAAGATAAGCAACATCTCCTCGTCGCCTTCTCTTGTGGTCCGAAGTCTGTGGGTTTCTGAGATCGAGCAGGCGGCATCCGAACCATGGCCACGAATATTCACCTCGCAACATGCTCTACCGAGAAAGCGCTCCTGCATTACGCGGAGGAAGGCGATGTGGAGGGGTTGAAGGCGCTTGTAGAAGCGAACAAGGAGAGTGGCCGACTAGATCTCAATGCGGCGGACAAGAGCGGCAGAAGTGAGAAGTTGAAGTTTCTCTTCCTGCTTTGACTTTTCCTTTTCCTTCAGCCATTCTTCACATTGCAGTGGAGAAAGGAAACATCGACATGCTCGCCGCCATCGTCAAGTTTGATAGAATCACCCTCCACGCTGTTGACCGCAAGGGCAGGAGTGCCCTCCATCTCTCCGCCCTCCATGCGCACGAGAGCGACGCTCATTTGCAGTGCCTATTCCTGCTCCTCGACTTGGGAGGGACGGTCATGGCCAGCCTGAAAGACCAGGAAGGATGGTCAGCTCTTCATGCCGCCGCGTCAGTAGGAGCGAGCAACACTTGCCGGCTCCTGCTGCAGGCCGGGGCTCCTTGCAGCCCATGCGATCATGACGGCATCAACCCGCTGATCGTTGCAGCGAGGAGAGACCACCTTCAAGTCGTCGAGCTCCTCCTCGCGCATCGATCGTCGCTCGCACATGTCGACTTCGATGGCTGGAACGCCCTCACGCATGCGGCTGCCTGCGGGAGAGACCGAGTGGTCTCCCTCCTCCTCGAGAACCTCGCAGACCCTTCTTGTCAGGACTTGCACAACGGAACTCCGCTGCAGCATGCTGTGAAGAACAGGCATCTGACCACAGCAGCGCTTCTCATCCAGGGTTTGTGTGCTGTCGATCTCTCTGACTGCGGGCTGCATGACGAGGCCTGGCTCTTCACCCTCTGCTCCTCCTGCTGTGCTGCTTCCTCTCTCTCCCTCTCTCGCAACGCCATCGACACCCTCAAGGCTTCGAGTGTTTTGACGGCGGTAGAGCGCAGCTTGCCAGCGCTCATGGTGCTGGACTTGTCGTGTAATTCCATCACGGACGGGCTGACGTTTCCGAGCCTGACCAACTTGAGGAGGCTCGACTTGTCGGACAACGGTCTCTCTGCTCTGCCGGTGGGAGTCGAGGCGATGCTCTCCCTCGTCAGTCTCGCCGTTTCAAAGAACAAGCTGCAGCAGGTGGCGCCAGAGCTTGCGAGGCTAGTGGGGCTGCAGCGGTTGGACTTGTCAGGAAACTGCCTGTCCTCTCTTCCTTGTTCCTTGTCAAGCCTGACTGCACTTGTCACGCTTGACCTCTCTCACAACGAGTTTGACGAGCTGCCGGCCAGCCTGCTAGGCCTCTGCTCGCTGCAGGTCTTTGACTGCAGCTTCAACCGCCTCCAGCGCCTCCCCCACCTGCCAACGTCGCTCGTATCACTCAACCTGGACAACAACAAGCTGGAGGAGCTGGACCCGCAGCTGGGGAAGGCAGGGCACCTTGAGACCCTTTCTGTGCGCAACAATCAGCTCGCGACTATTCCTCCCACCCTCATCGCCACGAGCATCCGCAAGTCTCGCGATCTGCGGCTGGACGGCAACCCGCTGAGTGCGATCCCTGAGAACGTGCGAGGCGATGCCGACGCGACCCTCGGGTTCCTGGAAGATGTCTGCGAGGGGCTGGAGCAAGTGCTCTTCATCCGAGTGATGGTGATGGGGGAGGCCGCCGCCGGCAAGACAAGCTTGGTCAGGTGTCTGCACGACCCCGACATGTCGCTCAAGGCTCTCCTGCGTCAGCCTCGCCTCCCCGACACCGGCGGCTCGACCTTAGGGGTGGAGGCGACACGAGCAGAGACCCGATGCCACGCGCTGGGCACCAACGTGTCGCTGCAGTTTTGGGACCTGGCAGGTCAGGCCTGCTACCTGGTGGGACACTCGCTCCTGATGTCCGACCGCCTCCTGCCCGTCTACGTGACGGACAGCACGAGCGACGAGGCAGCTGCGATGCAGAGCGCGTGCAGGTGGCTGGACACGCTCATGCTGGCGCTGCCCGGCGCATCCTTGCGTGGAGGTGAGCAGGAAAGCAGCAGGAGCTGTCAGCCTGCGCTCTCCGTCGTCCTCATAGGGACGCGAGTGGAAGCAGGAGGATGCGACAAGATCACAGCGTGCCAGAAGCTGAACAGCCTGGCGGACATGCTGGTGGCTCGCACGAAGAGCTTGCATGGACGAGTCTTGAGCGTAAAGGCGGTCATGGGCGTGTCAAACTCGACGCGAGAGGTCGTTGACGCAGATGGGAGGCGTTGCGATGACGCGCTTGAGCAGTGTGTGGATGCTCGGAACCCCAACGCTGAGTTCTCTTTCAAGCTCGTGCTAAAGAAGATCGCTGAAGTCTCCATCGGCATCCTCTACACGGACCCTCAGTACCCACGAGCTCTTGTGCCCATCGCCTACAGGTGGCCGCGATGTTTCTTGTTCCCTCCTCCTCTCTCACTCCTCGTCTTCTTTCGACGCTTCTCTGCTGACTGCCTTGTCTGTCTCCCTCCTCTCCGCAGTCGCTTGAGAAGCGCTCTGAAGGACAAGGCGTCCACCCCGGTCTTGCATCTCTCTCAGGTTTTTCTCCTCGCGCAGAAGCACGCGGGCATCACGGATGAGCCCAAACTCTTCCGTGCTCTGGCGATGCTTCAGTGCTGGGGAGTCCTCGTCCACCTGCAAGACTCGTCCCTGCTCAAGAGCACAGTGCTGCAGGTGAGAGCGGAGGAGTAGGAGGAGGAGGAGGAGGAGGAGGAGGAGGCAGTGACGGACGGCAGGCGCACTGGTGCTCGCAGCTGGTATACACGCTCTTCATGTGTGCTCACCTTGCGAGCATGAAGCAGAGCCCGGGAGGAGGAGGAGAGTCGGAGAGGACGTGAGCGCTACTCGTCTCTTGCTGCAGCCGAGCCTAGAGAAGGTGATACAATAGATGGCAGGCTGGCGGACAAGGTGGACCTGGAGGCCCTGCGTTTGGCAGACCCCGCGGGCTCCCTCATACTGCGAGGAATCCTGACACGACAAGCAGCCCAGGCGAGACGACGGAAGGGGAAGGAAAGGAGGGAAGAAGGGAGGGCAAGAAGGAGGGGAGGGAGGATGAAAGCAAGGGGGGGAAGAAGATGGGGTTGGTGAGAGCTTGGCAGGCCATGTTCGCGAAGCTTGCGAGAAGTGCTGGCTTGAATGAGATCGACTTGTGTCTACACCTCCTCGAGCATGTCGGGATCTTGTGTCCGGTAAGAGCAGGAGGAAGCACTGGTAGGTGTCGCTGAATGGGTTCAGGTTCGGAACCAAACTTACCTCGTCCCCTCTCTCTTCCAGAACTCCATGCCGCCAAGAATCCGTTCGAGTGAGGCTGCTGAGACTGAGAGCAGCTTCTTCTCTGACTTGCCTCTAGTCACCTGCAGCTCTTGGAAGCACCTTTGGAGTACTCATCGCGAGTACAGGTTCAACATCCTGCCGTACAAGGTACCGCACCTCTCCCCTCCCTTACCATTTCAATCCTCTCTGTACTGCTCTTTCCGCCGCCTACATGCAGGAGAAGAGCCAGTACCTGCCTGTGCTATCCGCCTTCTCTCCTCTCCTCTTGTCCCTCTTCTCTTCTCGACGTTCTCTAGCTCATATCGAGCATCGTTTGGCGTGCGAAGCTGGCAGGAGCCTTGACGGTGCTGCTTTGTTCATCGGTGGATCTGCGAGCGGGTGAGAGCGAGGGCTTGCTTCCCCTCTGACGGCAGGCAGGAGCTGTCTCCGTCATCACCTGGGCCGAGGGACTCTTCCTGCAGAAGCAGGACGGCACCTCCGTCCTCGTGGACACTAAGCCTTCTCACTGCACCATCTGCGTGTACACAACTGAGAGGCGGCGAGGAGGAGGAAAGGGGCATGACTCTGAGTGCTGGGTGGAACGAGTGCAGGAAGCGATCGGCAAGTTGTCTTGTCGGTTCGCAGGAGTGTCGGTGGAGATCTGGATCAGCTGCCCAGAAGTTGGATGCCGGTGAGCTCAGCTTGCGTCTGAGAGCTAACCAGCTGACGGGGCGGCAGAGAGTTCCTCCCCTTCGAGAGGCTGTCGGGAGGGCGAGGAGGTCAATGGGAAGCGATGAGCCAAGTCTGGAAGCAGGAGAGGGAGGAGGAGGAGGAGGCCAACGCCATCTGCGGTCATGTGCCAACAGCGCACGCGTTCCCTCTCAGCACTTGGATACGCGGCAGAGAAGAAGCGCAGGGGAAGGAGGAGGAGGAGAGTTGCGAGGAGATCGACTCGGAGCTCATCCGTCGGAACTCGAGCAGGAGAACAGAAGAAAGGTTCGGAGGAGACGAGCTCCCCCTCAGCTTCTGCACTGCGTTGACCAGCTCAGCCTCCTTGAAGGCTGACAGCCAAGTCGCAAGAGGAGCAGGTGGACCGCACGACTTTTACTCGGGGGCTCAGCTGCTCGCTGTTGCTCCCATCCATCACGACGGGATTGAATTCGGCAAGGAAGTGTCGGCATGCGCAGGTGAATGAAGTTCTTCTCTTCTCCTGCTCCTCTTCTCCTGCTCCTCTTCTCCTGCTCCTCTTCTCCTTTACCTCGCTCTCCTGCTCCTCTTCTCCTGCTCCTCTTCTCCTGCTCCTCTTCTCCTGCTCCTCTTCTCCTGCTCCTCCCCCTCACTTCCTCGGCTTCTGTTCCAAGACGTTGAACCGACTCACTGCTAGAGGAATTCGCGCTATACATGAGAGACCCGATGAATCCCAACCAGGTCAGCTCCATCCCCCCTCCTCCTTCCCATCCCCCCCTCCTCCTTCCATCCCCCCCTCCTCCTTCCATCCCCCCCTCCTCCTTCCATCCCCCCCTCCTTCAGCCATCCCCC